AGAGAGGAAATGAGAGGAAATGAAGTATTGTTTGTTTAGAAAGTGAAATAAGTGGTTGAAATTTCATAAACACAAGCTTAAAGAGCTCATCAATGGTGGTTTTGGGTGGTTGCAAATATTGATGACAATGGCATTATGGTAAATAAGGAGAAATGTTTAGGGTGTAATAGGTTTTTTATAATTTTCGAAAATAAAATCATATTTAAAAATAATGGCAATTTGGTAAATAGGTGGAAACATGAGGAGAGTTTAGGTTTTTTAAGAGTGAATAGTAATGACAAAAAAAAAAGAGGTTGGTTTTGTGTTTGACTTGAAATTTTAGGTTGGTTTTGCAAAAACCCCAATATTTAGTGTATATTAATTTATTGAGTATTAATTTATAGAGGTTCTACTGTATTTCGACCAAATCTTCCTTGCATAATTTTTTTCTTTTTATAACATAACATGTATTCAAAATTATTTCTAAAATTCTTGTCGTGAGCCTCTCGAATGCTTCTCACGGCCCCACTCTCAGCAAGTCCCCGCATCCATATTGTTGTTGCAACCTTTGTAGAAACAAAGAACACATAAACTAGTTAAACAAAAAGAACCAATGTCCAAATCTTTCAAATTTCGGTTATCTTTTATTCAAATTTTTTAAACAATTATATCTTTGTTTAATCATATTAACTCGACTTCACAACTGCGAATCAATATTGAGAAATTTCTAATTTACCTAACCTTAATTTAACACTCAATTTTCTGACTTGTTTAACCCCAAAAACCTTATTCAACACAGCACAACACAAGTCTGTATTTGATAGCTTTCTTCAAAATGTAAAAACAAAATCTCTCTAGCTCGACCTCTTTATTATCTCCGGTAAATCTCCGTTTAATATTAACTAGGATGAGACCCGTGCCTTGCACGGGATGAGACATGTGTAAAATGATAAAACTAAAATATATAATCGTAGATGTTTATCATGATATGAATTTAATTATAATATTTCAGTTTACAATATATATATATATATATATATATATATATATATATATAACTGAAAGGTATATAGTAAATAGAAATGACAAATAATGAATTGAATTATGTAGTATCAAACCAAACATTTACGAATAACAATAATTTTATCGACCTCTTCTTTTGCATATATATTTCAGCGAAATTTATTTATTGGATTTTACTCGTGACCTGCACGGGGTGAGCAAAAAAAAAAATTTACTGATTATAAATAGTAGATTTTAGGGATGTTAAATGAGGTAAAACCGAATTAATTAAAACCAAACCAAACTGAAATAGAGAAAATTGGTTGGATTTGGTAATACCGAATAAACCAAATGGAATTAATTTTAAGAAATCGTAGTATATGGATATGGTTTGGTATATAAGTTGATGAACTCGAAGAAACCGATCAATTAAAATATATTAGTTAACTTATATGCAAATTTTATGATAAAATTAATAATTTATACATGATGATTTATGAATATTATATTCATCTTTAAAACATATTTTTATTGAAAAATATTTGTACTAAATATATAGTTTTTAATAGTATTATAATATTAACAATTTTGTTTTAATAGAAAAAAGAAAAAAATATTATATCTTAAAATTAGACTATGAAATATATCTTATGTTTTAATAAATCTGATTTCTGATCATATAAACTAAAATTTGTCATAAAAGGTAAATATAGTTATGATTTTTGGTATAAAACCAAGAAACCCAAAAAACCAATAGTATAAACCGAACCAAAATAGATATAATATTGGTAGCTAATTTTTATAACAGAAATGTCGAAAAACTAAAAAATCTGATCCGACATCCGAATTGAACACCCCCTATCATTTTCTGTAAAGTATCTTATCTATTATTGCTTCGTGATGTATTTGTGTAGGTTGCCAATCATTTTTTTATTTGACTCATTTTGTAGATGGTTAACAATTGTGTTAGGCCCAAAGCTTTGATTATATGGGCTGTACTAAACACTCAACTCTCTCTGTTTCAGAGGAGAGATCAAATCACAATCCTTCTCTCGGTTACAAGATGAAAAAAGGGATTAGGGTTATCACTTTTTTTTGGGCAGTTCATGTTCTCGCCCAATGATTTCAATAGCTTCTAAAGTCAATTCCTTTTCGATCTCTTATCAGATGTACACAATTGTTTGGCACATCTAATTTTTCCTCTGTTATATAATTTTTTGTATGACCATTCACAACGGCGAGATTCTATCACCCGTTGCTCGTTACGGATGCAAGAGAATCTGTGAACGAAAAACCTGAGCACAAACCCCTTTCCCAAAATTGTTAAAATCTCTTGTGTATATATAAGAACAATTTTTAACTAAAAATCTTGATATTTATCTAAAAATCTTGAACAACTGCTAAATACAAAGTTTGAATACTTATCATCCCATCATGATTAGGGACGCATAAATGGGAATCTTTCTGGTTTCATGTATGTCCTCTACTTATCTCACTGTCACGGAGGATCTTCAAGATTCATGTATCATCATGGATAAACGCAAGATAGATATTTACCATCAAATTCTGTGGACAGAGGTTAGTATTCTATACTGTCTAAACTATCATCTCAAAGTCAACCGTAATAGTGTGTTTGAATATTGGTTACGCCAAGGACGTTGTGTTCGAAAATCTCTGCATCGGAGAAGAGAGAATCGTGAGAGATTCTCGCTGCAATTAAGGAAAGGGAAGAGAGAGTAAGTTTTAATAAAGAGGGGAGAGAGACTCAACTTTAACATATCCATCATATACGAACACACATAATATAATGCAATTACTATACCATAAAAAAGTCTGTCCAATGGCAATTTTCGTAAATTCTCTAGATGGGAATGGACATTTATAAAGGTGGTCTGAGAAGCTTTGTCTGTCTGACACATCAGCAAATGGCACCTCTGTAAATATGGTATCATTCTAAGGTTTCTCTTATTTTTTGCTTCTCTTTTAATAATAAGGGGATAAGTTTAAATCTTAATCCTTATTTTTTCCAAATCATAATTAACATTTCAACCAATTAATCAACACCACATCACTTACTTCACTTTTTTGTGTTCAACCTCAAACATGGTCCCAACAACCTTTATCTTTTTCAGTCTCCTGCTCAGCAGCATCTTCGATATGACTGAGAAAATAAACCGAACCCAACCGCAATGAATCCAAACCAAACCCAACTCAACATAAATACAAAATGGATCTTGTTTTGCGGTATTTTGGATTATGAATTTTATCCGAACCAAACTCAAACTTAAATGAATATCCGAAAGAACTTGAAACTTCAAAATTCCCAAAAAACTTATACCATACCCAATCTCGATTTATAATATGTATCCAAACACATTAAGATATTATTGAATACCTACAATAGTTAGTTATTATATGAATAATTAACTCAAATACTTAGTCTAATATATATTTTATTTGGTTAATATTAATGTTTTTATGTTTGACATTGCATTTAAACTTTAGTTACGAATATTTTTTTGGAAGTTTAAATAATGTTGTTTTTAAATTTTAAGTAGTATTTCTTACGTTTATAGAATTGTTAGTTGTTAACTTTAATTTTTATATTTAATATGTAGGATTTTCCGTTTGTTCAAAGTTTTGGTTTGTCATGAATCATGATATGTTTAGTGTTATCAGGTATAATTCAATGCCAACTCTCATATGGTTGATAAACGAGTTTTACAAAAT